AAAATGGGCCATGTTTGTTAGCCGATCCTCGACGACAAGGATCGCATCGTTCCCACTCGTCCGAGCCGGTAACCCAGTGACGAAGTCCATTGTTACCTGTTGCCAAGCATGCTCTGGGGGTGGTATCGAATGCCACTTTCCTGCCGGCAGGTGGGACATGATGCCACATGTCGCTGCAGCTACTGCCATGTTTTCTCAACCTCGAAATGTCCTGAGGTAACTCCGTCATGTGCCTCCTATAACAGTAACTCCCGCAGTAAAGTGTAGCCCGGTACCCAGATGCGACCAGTATTCGCTTTTATGTAATAAACCCGTCTTGCTACTGCAAACTGCTGCAAATTTCCGCCTGTGAAGAATGGGTATGCCTGGTTATTGTGGGTAAATAGTCCTGTGAGTAGCGGGCTGGTATTGCGTGTATCTGGGCAGTCGGCCGGGTCAGTGCGTCGGCGATGTTCGAGGCACTCTTTTTAGGGCGGGTCTAGAGCGTACGTTTTCAGCTGGTTTACAGTTCATTCTGTGCGGTTAATCATCTTGCGTCACGGTGCGAAACGGTGAAAACCGCTGTACACTGTTTGATATTGTGTGAAACCTCGACAGGTGAACTATAACAAACTTTAATTGTACGCGTTGGGCCCGCCCTTATAGATGACTGTGTAATGAAAGTTGGACTCGAGGAAGTCGAGCCAGCGGACCTGTCGTGGGTTGAGGTGGGGCTCTGCGCGGAGGTACTGTGGTGATTTGTGGTCTGTTTGTACTATCACATTGGCACAGGGCAAGTAACAGCGCCACACTTCGAACGCGAGCATGATCGCGTGCATTTCGCGGTTGTGTATCGGGTAATTCTTCTCGGGTGGGTGCAGACTTCGTAACTCGTATGCGATAGGATGTAAGCCGTTGTCGAAGTCCTGTAGCAGTACAGCTCCGATGGCGATATCGCTAGCGTCGGTAACCACTTCGAATGGACGGTGTGGGTCGGCGATGCGCTATACGGGCGGTGAACGGATAACAGTTTTCAGAGCAGAGAAGGCAGCATGCTCTTTCCCCCCCCACGTAAAAGCGACCCCCTTTCGTAACAAATCCGTCAGTGGGGCAGTTAGCCGTACCATGTCGGGGACGAACCGGCGGACAAGGTTAACAAACCCCAAAAAAACCCTGCAGCTCCGTGATGTTTGTCGGGGAGTGCCACGCTTTGACGATATGCATTTTGATTTTTGTATATATAACCCCAGTTTCTGAAATGACGTGCCCCTGAAATTCTACAATGTCTAAAAGAAAAACTCGCACTTTGAACCCTTCGTCAGTAGCCGACGCCCAATTTGGAGTGCACGCTCAAATTCTGCTGTTTCTGGAAGTGGCATGACCATCGTTTGCTTCGATTCCACTTCACTTGCGGGAAGAGCACCTTCATGAACTCCCGAGACAGATGACCGACAGACACGTCAATACCCTTGTGCCACCATTTGAGGAGCTGCGCGTAAACCTGGAGCTCCATCGGACGATACCACGAAGCTCTGTCGCGCCCGTGCTGTCGCTTCCGTGTTTGATACTCTGGGCGCCTCTCTTCTACTCGGTCAGACACTTTCGGTGGATGCTAGACTCCCGCATCACCTCGCTCACCGTCGCCGCAACCTCTAGGCGCACGAACCACCGTAGCTTTTCTTGGGCGGTATAAGCTTGACGCTTATGCTGTGACGTCTTGTGCCTGGGAGAGGTGGGGCGGGCATCACAATTCTCAAAAGAGGGGTGGGTACACTTTCGTTTAGTTGGAGGAAACAACAAAATGGACAGCTTCTCAAGTAAGCCATTGCGCAACTAGTACTCAGCATCGTCGTCGTCCTCGGCGCCAACACCATCCGCGGTACCCACATCAGCCTTCATCGTCGGCGTCCTTGGCGCGATGCTCGTCATCGGGGGCACATCGTCCTCGCGCACACGGCTGACTCGACACACGGGCACTCTTCTTGGGCGCCAGGCCTGGGATCTTGTTAGCTTCTGGTTCCGTCAGGAACTCATAGAACGCCGATGGCAGCAGGACCGTGAGGATAGACCGATCACTCGTGGATGAGGGAACATGCGGACTCGGAGGAGCAGGAGGAGTGGGAGTCATCGGAGGAGCAGGAGGAGTAGGGGGTGCAGGTGGCGTAGGAGGCTGTGATGGCTCAAGAGGTTCAAGAGGGACACGGCTATACAAGCCATCTTCAGTCACTCGCCAAACGGGTCTATGAAAAATGAAGCAAGTGGGTGTCTGTGAATTCCGCCATGGCTTCCGCAGCGAGGCGGGAGAGGTATAAATAATGAAGAAAAAATGAAAGACGGTGCAGAAATGGGCAACGGAGGGGACTTCGTCCGGTTGGCGGCTCGGGGTCCTCGTTAATGAATGACCGGAAACCCCCGTCTAAACCCGCAGAGGACCCTGCGTGGCAAGAAATCCGCTGCGCTGGCATGGGACAGGCCCTCAGATATCAGGATAAAATATACTGAATGTCATGATTTCAGTATTTGTGTAATTCTGAGCCAGCGCATGACTCTCTGATTGGGCCACAAGGCAATTTGTGAGTCAGCGATGGCAGGTTCGATGGTTCCGGACTGAACTGAATCGCGACCATTTTCACACGGTTTTCCATGCACGAACCCACGTGAACAATATTAGGGTGTATTCCGCTTTGAGACCTTCATTTCGGCATGCTGTAAATCAAACTTCATTTTTTGCTTTCTTACGAGAGCTTGCGCTATTACTCCCTAAAAAGCACATTTTATTATTGCGCACCTGCGCTTGTATCCGGGGCCATACGGTACGTGCTTAACTTCCAAGTAGGGTTGTTTCACGACGATTTTGTGCTGCCGGGGCTGATGAGAAGCCCTGGGGCTTATCCTGTGGGGGAGCTTCCATCCAACGAATTACTGTACATCAACAAAAAAGCTATATATCATCCAGTAAAACTGTCATTTGCATGCGTCCGCACTGTAGCAACACCTCCCCTTTCTCTGCATTCACTTGGAGCACTTTCCCTTTCAGTCCCAATCGAGGCACTGAGACAGTCGCACCGACTGCAGGCCCCTTGTCTTGTTCCGCCTGGTTCGACTGCATGCGCATTCTTGTGGGAAAATGCCCGCTGCTGCTGCTGCTGCTGGCTGCAAGTATTCGGGAGAAAGTGAGGAGTTTGGGAATAGAAATATCCTTTGTTTGGACAAGGGGGTTGGGGGAAAAGGTGTTCTGATCGAAAACAACAATGCATTTTGGACAAGATGAAGGGGATTGAGGATTGTGTTGATTTGAGATAGAGCTGGATGACATGGAAAGGTAGGGAGGGATGGGTTTGGCGTACGAGAGAGGGAATGACTGTGTGTGAATAAGGAAATCCGAGAAATGGAGAGGGTGAGTGAGTCAGTAAGTGAGCGAGCAGGCGAGAGAGTGAGCGAGTGAGGGAGGGAGGGAGGGAGGGAAGGAGGAGGGAGGGAGGGAGGGAGGGAGGGAGGGAGGGAGGGAGGGAGGGAGGGAGGGAGGGAGGGAGGGAGGGAGGGAGGGAGGGAGGGAAGGGGGAAAGAAAGACTACCACTTCTGAAAGGGCTATCCTCTAAGGTCCAACCAAAGGATTCTTCCCCTTCTCCCCTTTCCGCTCTGTCCTAGAGACACCACACCAGAAAAAAAAAGGACAGAAAACTACCATACAGTACACCTGTGAGGACAGAAAACTACCATACAGTACACCTGTGAGGACAGAAAACTACCATACAGTACACCTGTGAGGACAGAAAACTACCATACAGTACACCTGTGAGGACAGAAAACTACCATACAGTACACCTGTGAGGACAGAAAACTACCATACAGTACACCTGTGAGGACAGATAACTACCATACAGTACACCTGCGAGGACAGAAAACTACCATACAGTACACCTGTGAGGACAGAAAACTACCATACAGTACACCTGTGAGGACAGAAAACTACCATACAGTACACCTGTGAGGACAGAAAACTACCATACAGTACACCTGTGAGGACAGAAAACTACCATACAGTACACCTGTGAGGACAGAAAACTACCATACAGTACACCTGTGAGGACAGAAAACTACCATACAGTACACCTGTGAGGACAGAAAACTACCATACAGTACACCTGTGAGGGCGGTTCTGTAGGCGACCTGTCCTTTATTCTCCACGAGGCGCATTCCCTCCTTTTTCCCTGCCCCTCGCATTAAACAGCACCCCTTCCCCCCCCCCCCCCCCCCCCCCCCTGGCATCTAACAGCACCCTACACACTCAGACGGATACCTTGGGGAAAACTGCTTCTACACGCCCCCCCTTCCTCCATGCCGCACCCAGAAACTCCTCCGCCCCTCCCCCCCGCCGATTCCCAACTCACCTCCCGCTCATGGCTCCCTCACTCATTGTCTGAAGCGCCTCAAACGCCCTCCCGTCACACATACCTTGGGGCTGTCTGCTTCCTGTCGCCCCCTCCACCATGCCCCACCCAGCTGCTCCTCCCTCCTTCTCCCTCCCCCCTCTCCTCCTCGCCGCACCCACTTCAAACAGAGCTGCCTCTTCTGCCTCCCTCGCTTTTCTCACAGCTGCCCGGGCAGCTGCCCGAATCGCCTTCTGCCCGTCAACAACTGCGGCTTGAACTTTTTGCTGCCCGTCCAGCTGCAGTGCCTGCTGGTGCAGCTGCAGGCGCCGTGCAGCTGAAGTTAGGTCAGAATAAAGAGACTCTGCTTGCCTGTCGGATAGGGAGGGGGACAAGAAAAAAAGAGCAATAATATCACCCCCCCATCCAGAAGCATGCATGTAGCAGTCCCCCTCTCCCACCCCCATCCATGTGCTCCCCTTAACCCACCTTAGAATGGAAGCAGATGCCGGCACATCCACCTCATACACCCTTCCAGCGATCATGCACCCACATGCATGCCTGCATGAATCTATGGATCCCAACAAACCACACGCCTCCATCCACGCCCACACCCATTCCTCCAACCACCCACCTACCCACCCACCCACCTTAGAATAGAGGCAGTGGCTTCCACATCAGTCTCATACGCCCTTCTAGCTTCTTCCATTGCTGTTATTACCTGCCAAGTAAAGATCACAGTTTAGCAACAAAACAAAGAAATGAAAAAATGGCAGGAAAAGTGTTGCACCTAACTAAATATCTCTGATACTTGAAGCCTTATAATTTCGGAGGGCTCTCAGCTACACGCACTTCTGATAATTTTTAGAAGTGATTTCAATTGGGGCCTTGTTGGAATATTAGCGGGAAAAAAAGGCACAGTTGCATGCACTCGCCTCATTCACTTGCATCTTTGCACTGCCTTGCAGCTCCCTGGCAGCCGAAATGATTTCTCCGGGCAGCCCGAGCCTCTGCGCGATGTTAAGCGCGTTGGATCGCCCCGGGATGCCCCACAGGAGGCGGTACGTGGGAGCGAGGCGCTCATCATCAAACTCCACCGAGGCGTTCTCAAAGCGTGCGTCCCTGTCAATGGAGGGGAAGGGGAAAGGAAGGGGAAGGGGAAGAGAAAAAGAAAGAGAGGAAGGTGGGATGGCCCACAGGGGGCGGTGTGTGGCCCACAGGGGGCGGTGTGTGGCCCACAGGGGGCGGTGTGTGGCCCACAGGGGGCGGTGTGTGGCCCACAGGGGGCGGTGTGTGGCCCACAGGGGGCGGTGTGTGGCCCACAGGGGGCGGGGCGGTGTGTGGGAGCCAAGCGCTCGTCATCTAACTCAACTGATTCAGTCTCAAAACGAGCGTCCCTGTGAGGGAAGTTGGTACAAGAGAGAGGAGGGCGGCTGGGGGCACCGGAGAGAATGGCGTGATAACGGCTGGCTCCCCACCCTGACCCACAGGAGGCAGTACGTGGGAGCGAGGCGTGTTGCAGTGGAAGAGGTCAAGGGAAGGTGGAGAGGAAGGGGAGGGGGAAGGGGAAGGGGAAGGGGAAGGGGAAAGGAATGGAAGGGGAGGGGAAGGGGAGGGGAAAGCGAAAGCGAAGGCAGCTTTGATCTTCCTAGAAAAATCAGGTGAACCGAATCCATACAATGGGGATAAGAGTATAGACTCTAGAAAACAAAGCAGGTGGGATGCAGATTCAGGTTGCTAAAAAACAAGATTGTTATTCTTTAGAATAATATTTTTTTTTGCAAGAAAGCTTGTGGATTATGAGAAAACATGGGCAATCTGAAACAATAGCCCAAAAAAAAACATACACTCAAGCACAACCCTTTGATAGCTCGTTGTGCATTTGCCCTGACCTGTATTTGAGCGTCTTGAGTTGCCCGTGATGCGTTGTAGCCATGGTCAGCAGAGCACCACCTGACGGAACACCTGAAGATTCGCCTGAACCTTCTTCTGATCCCCCTGCTAGATGCTCTAGCACTGCTGTGGCCAAAGCGGCCCCTTCTATTGGGTCCGTGCCCGCTCCTAACTGGAAGGGCGTTGACAGGGGAGTCAGGATGGAGGGGAAAGGGATGGAGGGGAAAGGCTTGATTTGGCTGAGCACCGCTGTGGCCAGAGCAGTCCCTTTGATTAGGTGGGAAGGAGGAGGGAGAAAGTGCGGAATGGACAAAAGGTAGCAAGGAGGGAATGAGCTGAGCATGTCAGAGCAGATATATTTCGCCTAACAGTACGAGGGAGCATGGCGTGGCATGTTGCACGAGGAGGGAGATGCACTCCGGGAGGGCACACGCTCACTGCTGTGGCACACGCTCACTGCTGTGGCACACGCTCACTGCTGTGGCACACGCTCACTGCTGTGGCACACGCTCACTGCTGTGGCCAGCAACCTTTTCATCAAAACGCAAGAGCCGTTTTCTGGATTACAAAGCTGATTATGCTTTGCTTGGTTGTTTTTTGTTTTCCTCTCAGCCTGAAAGGAATTAGAGAGCAGAGGAAACTTTTAAACCTTTTTCCCAGTCTGATCCGAAGGGATGAGAGGGCGTGGGGAAAGGGATGAAAGGAATGAAAGGGATGGGAGAGCAGAGAAAAGAAAAATCACCTCGTCCAAGAGCACGAGGGAGCGTGGGGTGGCAGCTTCCAGGATGCTTCTGATGCGGACGAGGTGCGAGGAGAAGGTGGAGAGCGACTGCGTGAGCGACTGGGCGTCGCCGATGTCGGCCAGCACGAGGTCATAGAGAGGCAGGCGGGCGGGTGATGCTGCCAACACATAGATGCCTGGGCAGGGGAGGCACAGACAGGGGTTGGGGAGGGGAGGCACAGACAGGGGTTGGGGAGGGGAGGCACAGACAGGGGTTGGAGCAGGCAGAAAGCAGAGAAGTGGTGGAGTGGGAGTGGATGGGGCAGTGGGTGCAGGAGTGGGTGAGTGAGTGGGCGCCCACTCACCACGTGGCTCTCACTGGCCACTCACCACGTGGCTCTCACTGGCCACTCACCACGTGGCTCTCACTGGCCACTCACCACGTGGCTCTCACTGGCCACTCACCACGTGGCTCTCACTGGCCATTCACATGGAGCCATGTGAGAGGGCATGAGCCCCACTGCTGTGATGACAGCAGAGATGGACAGAGTGGGCGGGTGAATTGACACAGCAAGACAGAGATGCGCCACACTCCCACACTCACCGCATCCTCTCCACCAACCCCCCAGAGCACTCCAACCCATCCCTCCCCCCCACACGCACCGCACCGCACTGCACCATGAGAGCAACGAGTCCCACTGCCTTGACGGCAGCAGTCTTGCCGCCGGTGTTGGGACCCATCCTCCTGGTGTCACACTCACCAACCTGCACGGCACCCCCTCCTCACCGCATCCCTTTCCCCTTTCCCAACTCACTGCAACTTGCCAGTCACACCTTCTCCTCCCTGCGAAATCACCCCCCCAAAGCACTCACCACATCTTTCCACCCCCAATGAACGAACTGAGCTTGAGTTGATACTTTAGTAATGAGCTAAAGGCTCTTTAAGTACATCGGAAATGAGCAAGGAATGGATGGGGAGGAAATCGGGGGCAATCCCAAGGGGATCGCCTGGAATCTCGAATTGGTGGGTTGGAGATTGCAGTGATCACATTTGGGTTTGGTTGGGATGTGAGTGTACACCCAACCAAAACAAAGTGCAAACTACACTATGCTAGGACATAAAAAGTACAAGTACAAAAGTTGAAATTGAGGGCTAACACTAACACCCAAAGTACATCTCTCCATCCCTCCAAAGCACTCATCACACCTCTCCACCCCCCCAAAGCACTCACCACATCTCTCCACCCCCCCAAACCACTCACCACATCTCTCCACCCCCCCAAACCACTCACCACATCTCTCCACCCCCCCAACCACTCACCACATCTCTCCACCCCCCCAAACCACTCACCACATCTCTCCACCCCCCCAAACCACTCACCACATCGGGCCATGAGAGCTGCGAGCCCCACTGCTTTGATTGCAGCAGTCTTGCCTCCGGTGTTGGGCCCCGTTATAGTCACCACACGGCACCCCCTCCTTACAGTCACGTCTATGGGCACCGGCACTGCTGCCTCTGCTCGCCCCACCTCCTCCTCCGCCTCCCTCACTTCCCCCTCTGCTGCCTGTAGCTGTGTCACCCACCCCCCAGGGGAAACCTCCCCCACTCCACCACTCACTCCCGCTCCTGCTGCCGCTGCTGCTACTGCAGTGGCTGTTATGCCGGGTCGCGTGCGTAGTCTATTTGCCGCCCGCTTTGCCTTCTGCAGCCTCTGATTGGCTCGTTTCTGGGCAGCGCGGTACTGCTGGAGGAGGAGTGGGTGGCGGAGGGAACGGGTGTCCACGAGCGGAGCAGAGGGTACTGCTGACGTGGCTGGTGCAGCTGACGTGGCAGGGTCTATTGATGTGGCAGTTGCTGAGGTGGCAGGTTCAGCTGACGTGACATCAGGAGAGGAAGGGGTGGTGATTTCCGTAAACCCTAGACCCTCAGCAAGAGGGGTGAAGGACGGGCGAGTGGCACCCAGCCAGCTGCTGTAGCGTGCTCTCGCTGTGATCTGATGACACGGATGGTGGGAGGCGAAGCAGGTATGGGAGGGAGAGAGGAGCACAAGAGAGGAGCGCGGAAGAGTGGTGACTTAACTCAAAAGGCAGATAACCAGCTGTCATAGCATGGCGTGGTATACCACCTACGTGCGTGCTACCTGCCATGTATGTGCATGTGTGCGGAGGGGAGCTTCAGTGCGTGCGTGTGAGTGACAAGGGCTCAGCTCACCACGTCAAGTCGAACCACTGCCTCCAGCACTTCTTGCACATCCCCCACCGCACCGCTGTCTGCTGAGTGTACGCCTGTCCATGTGTGTGTTGTGTGCATGTAAATGCTTGTGTGCATGAGAGCAGCAGGGAGCAGCACTTACCACGTCGAGTCGAACCATCGCCTCCAGCACCCCGTGCACGTCCCCCACCGCCTCCCCCATGTCTCGTGACAACACCGCCAGCACTGCCTGCTCCGCCCGCCACGCCTCCGCACTGGCCTCGCTGTACCGGTTGTTCAGCTGCACTGCTGACGTCGGCTCTATCACTGCCAGGGACGGCGAGGAGCTGGGAAAACAGGGGAAGGAAGGGGAGAGAGGCATGTGAACCCCTTACTGCCTGCTCCGCCCGCCATGCCTCGCCACTGGCCTCGCTGTAACGGTTGTTCAGCTGCACCGCTGACGTGGGCTCTATCACTGCCAGGGACGGCGAGGAGCTGCAGGAGGTGGGGGAGGTGAGGGGGAAACAGAGCGTGGTAAGGGGCAGAAGGTGCGAGTGAACAAGGATTGAGACGTCTCGCAACCCTGTGTACACCGGCACTGCCAGCACTGCCAGCACTGCCAGCACTGCCAGCACTGCTAACACTGCTAGCCATGCCGGACAGACCAAAGCTTGCCCAGGATCTACAATGAGGGAGGGAGGGAAATCACCAAAGACTATCTGAGGAGGGAGGGAAAGTGTGCAAAGTTTGATTGCTCATTGCATAAACTTGTCGGTGAAATGCGAAAAACCGTTTGAGCAAGAGAAGGTGAGTTCGGGTGGGGTTGGGGAAAAGGCAGCTCATGGGATTCCTACAAGGCCACAAAAAGCCCATCCCCTCCCTTGATTCAATAGCCTCCCTTCCACTCATCATCACCTGCCTAATCAGCATGCAAGCATGCAGAAGCATTCCATTCTTTCCGATCTCCACACCCACACCCACACACACACCCACACCCACACCTACACCCACACTCACACACACACCCACACACACACACACACCCACACCCACGCACACACCCAAATGCACAATGCATGGTCCACAGGCATGCATGCAGAAGCATTCCATTCTTCACAAGCCCACGTTTTGATGACAAGGCCGGAAGCTCTCCCTTCCCCTACTCCCACCATCAGCTACTTGTATGGTTCTGCGTGGTGGTGTGCAGTGCAGGTGCCGGTGTGATTTGAGTTGACTCGAAACACACCGGCTCAGCTCAGCACCGGCGTGGTTTAAAACACGCCGGTGCATGCAACTCATCATCAGCTGCCTGCATGGTTCTGCATGGTTCTGCATGGTTCTGCTTGGTTCTGCATGGTTCTGCATGGTGGTGTGCAGGTGCCGGTGCAGCCCATCATATGCTGCCTTCACACCAGCATCCATGCAGCACTCCCCCCCACTCCACCTCGCCAAAGCATTGTGAACCAACTTAAGTGTCACTTTTGAGAATCCTTAAAAGTGATTCTCAGAAGAAAGTTGTCGAAAGGGTTTCACCACCTCACAGAGCAGCCCCCCGCACCTCCGCCGCCTCCCGGCCCACAACATTGTGAGCGACATCAAGAGGTACCCCTGAGAAACACGACAGCAGACAGACACTCACGATTTCATGACGAGACCAGAGGAGCTCCCCTCCCCGGCACTCATCAGCTGTCGGCTCACCACCATGCAAAACCGCCCCTCCACCTCCACCACCTCCTCCACCACCCCGCCGCCCGCCCCCCTCCCCCTCGCCGCCCGCGCCACCGCCTCCCTCGCCCGGGCGGCGGCCAGCTGGCACGCGGCTCGGGCCTGCCGAACCTCCGCGCTCGCTGTGTCCCGAACCTGCCCCTCCTCGTCCACGGCGGACCAGATGCGCCGAACCAAGTCTGGCCTGGTGGCCATGGGCTTGAGCTGACGGGAGGTTGGGGGGGAAGGGGAAGGAAATGTCTGAAGTGAATTAAAACCGGAAAATCTGGGAGTTGGCCATGGGCTTGAGCTGACGGGGGGTCGGTGGGGTGAGGGGAAGGGGATGCTTGAGAGGTGAACTTTTGTGACTTGGCCATGGGCTTGGATGCAGCAGGAGGGGGCATGGGGGGAAGAGGGGGAAGTGGAAGGGGAAGAGAAAGAGATACAGCACGCACGCCCGATATCCGTGCTCCATCCGGTCATCCCAGTGACCCAGTCTCCTCTCCACGACTCCACCCAGTTGCAGCCACGTTCAACCCTATGCCTGCCATCATCACAGCACGCATCATCCTTCCTCTAATGGAACTCACCAAATCCAGAAGCACATGCAGCCGGCTAATTCCGCCCCCCCCCCTTCCACCCCCTTCCCTTCCACCGCCCTGCCCTCCTCGCTCCACGTTAGCAACAGCATCCCTCACCCCGCGTCGCACCCCATTCGCCACCACCATCACCTCCCACCAGCCAACCCCGCTGCCATCTGAGCATCAAGCACTCACCAGATCCAGAAGCACATGCAGCCGGCTCTTGCCACTGCCCTCCAGTGCTCCTCTCTCCCCTCCCCCCTGCCCTCCGCGCTCCACGTCAGCAACAGCATCCATGACCCCGCGCCGCACGCCATTGGCTGCCACCATCATCGCAGCCACAGCAGCAGCCTGCCGCCCGCTCACGCTCATCCCGCGGCCCAGCACTCTTAATGCATCGCCCACTAACGAGGCATGCACCCCACTGAGGTCCACAGCGCCCCCGGCCCTCTCCTCCAGCTCGATCGCCGCTGCTGTTTCCTCCAGCAGCCCCTCGCACTGCTCCTGTAACTCTGCATACCCCCACAGGAGGGTTTCTTCTGAAAGGGTATTTTCCAGGTGAGTTTTGGTGGAAGTGTGAGAGGGGAGGGCGAGTGTGGGTTGGGGCTGGGCGGGTGCTTTGGCTTTGGGGGGGCGCAGGGAGAGCAGGAGGCGGCGGGCGTATGAGGTGGAGGCGAAGGACGAGAGGGTGGCGCAGAGGGCGGGCCAGTCAAGCGCTGCTAGGGTCTCCTCCTCTGCGTCTGCATGAGGGGGAATGAAGAGGCGGAAGGGTCGGAACGGGAAAATCGAGAGAAAGGGAAACAAAAAATGATGAAAATAAGGGGGGAAAAGAGGGAGGGAGGGGAATTAGGGAAAGAGAAAGAGGTTGGGTTGGATGGGGCAGGCAGAGGGCTTTGGGCGTCGCAGGGGGGGCAGCAGAGCGCAACCAAAGAAGGAGCAAGTGGAGCAGGGGTTAGCCATTATGATGCCGGTGGGCCTTGGATTGCGTGTGGGTGTGGGTGTGGGTGTGGGTGTGGGTATGGGTGTGGGTGTGGGTGTGGGTGTGGGTGTGTGTAGGTGTGGGGATAGGAAAGGAGGAGGGGACGAGCGGAATCATGGGAGAGAAAGTTACACAGGAGGAGCTTTTAGAGGATTCATAGAGGTGGCTACCCTCGTCCTCCTCCCTCCTCGCCCCCCTCCCCATCCCGTTCCTCCCCCTCGCTGGCCTCTGTTCCGATATAGCCGATGCATGTGTGGAAGCATTCCCGGTTTGCCGCTTACCTCGCTCGTTGTCGCCAAAGCCGTTACTCTCCGCCCCATCCCCTTCCTCTCCATCGTCAAACGTGAACACGAAAGGGTCCGATATAGCCCGGCTCGTTACTACTCGCCGTCGTTGTCGAATCTGCTGCGCCTGCACCGGCTCGAGACTGAATAGGCGCGCCTTTCTCGATACATCAACACTGTGAAAATTACGGTGTAACAAGCTCGCTGAATACGCCTTAGCAGCTACTCCCCGCGAAAACCTAGGTTCGAATCGGCCTGCGAGTAGCCTACTACTGCCGAATCGCCCTTGACTGCTACTACGCGCGACGAGGCTATTGGCTCGGGCGGACCTCCCGGCACGGCATTCCCGAGGCTGAGTTACGCAACGAGACGTCAACGCCACCCGTGGAGTGAATGACATAAGCGGCGGAGTCGTCGCAGGGGAGAGCGATGCGACAGCCATTGCAGCTTATTCAGGGCGGCTGTAGCAGGGGCGGCAGGGGCTGTAGCGGCAGTAATAGAGGCAGCAGTGGCAGTAGCAGGGGCAGCAGCGGCTATAGCAGGCGCGACAGTGGCTGTAGCGGCAGTATTAGGGGCGGCAGTGGCTGTAGCAGCAGTATTAGGAGCGGCAGCGGCAGTAGCAAGGGCAGCAGCGGCGATAGCAAGGGCGGCAGTGGCTGCACCGGCAGTAGTACGAGCGGCAGCGCCTGTATCAGGGGCGGCAGGGGCTGGTACCAAGGCAGCAGAGGCAGTAACTACCTAGGCAGCAGCGACCTATGCAACAGCAACGGCTGCTCTGGCGGTTGCCTTTGGCAGGGGCTGCTCTGGCTGCTGATCTAGCGGCTGCTCTGGCGCTTGCTATGGCGGTTGCTCAGGCGGTGGCTGTGCTGGCGGCTGCACTAGGGACTGCTCTGGTGGCAGTAGCAGCAGGCAGCTGCAGCTACGGTGGTGGCATGCAGGAACCGAGGCAGTGGCAGTGGCACGAGCTGCTGGTGCTGCTGCTGCTATGCGTGTTACTAACGCAGCATGTTGCAACTGCTGGCGCGTGCGCTAGGAAGGCAGCAGCGCACTGCTGGTGCTGCTGCTCGCGCTCATACGGCAACAGCGCGTTGCTTCTGCTGCTCGCTCAACTGGGGCCGCGGGGCGCGCCGGGCGATGAGGCAGCAGGGCGCGCGGGGCGGCAGCGTAGCGGGGCGCGAGAGGCAATGGGGCAGCGCGGCGCGCGGGGCAGCAGGACAGCAGCACGCGCTGGACGAAGGGGCAGCAAGGCGCGCTAAAGAAAAAGTGGCCGCGGGGTGCGCTGTGCGACGAGGCAGAAGGGCGCGCGTGGCGGCAGCGTAGCGGGGCGCCAAGGAGCGACGGGGCTGCGCGGCGCGTGGGGCAGCAGGGCAGCGAGCGCTAGGCGACGGGGCAGCAAAGCGCGCGAAAAAAAAAAGGCCCGCGCGGCGCGGTAGAGAAGGAGGCCGCGAGGCGCGCTAGGAAGCGGGGCAACGTTGAACACTAGGGAACATAACTGAGTTCGGATTGGCTAGGAGGTAGGAGACTAGGTGACTAGCAGAAGCGCTCAAACCTAGTTCTGTTATGAATGAACTTGCTGAGTGCGCAGAATAACGAATAACGAGAATGTTGAATTACTCAATGACGATAGAATGAAAGAGACGAGATTAAAGCCAGGGTCTCATGTACGGGTTGGCCGTGCAACTGCAAAGCACTTGGGCGAAAAGTGGTCTCTTTGGAGAGTCTCGATTTGTCAAAACTTTGGCCCCAAATTTGTAAACCAATCAAACAGGCCCGTTTTTCATCGACTGCAAAGCACTTGGTCACTTGAGACCCTGGCTTTAAATAGGGGAAATGCTAGTTAGGCGGGGAGGTCGGGAAATGGTGGCTCGGTGATGTTACGTTTGGAGCCGGGCTGACTCGGGAGTGGTTCGTTGCGATGAGATAGGCCGAACGTGAGGTTCGCGTGGACCTCGGGATGTACTCGCTAAAGTGCGAGTACAATAAGGAATTGTGATTCCTTACAAGCTCTATACCATGTCCAGAAAGGAAGAACCCTGAAACAGAAATGTTATCCCGTCTAAGAGATCAACTCTAGTCTAGCCTATAAGTATAAGCATACGTATAAAACATACAAACATATACTTTGACATCTGTTACCCTGTTGAGCGCGCGGTATTCGATGCACTTGCGGAAACCTCCGTCATTTTTCGGTATGAACGGTATCGGTGCGGCAAATTGCGACGAACTCGGTCTGATATTTTTTGTTTTTATCGAGTAGGTAGTTTAACTGGCTCGGGCTATGTCAGTCGGAACTGCCGCTGTACTGTTGGCTGTGCCCCCGGTTCTAGTTCTATACGATGGTCGTGTGATCGCGGAGGTGACAGTCCCTCTAGTATGTCATCGGGAAACATGCAAGAGTACCATTTCAATATCTCATGTAGCTCGGGCGGTACGCCTGCCAGCTGTTAAACTTAAGACTATGTGTGTATTAGGTCAACAAGAGAGATATAATTAAAGTATCGAGAAGTTCTGTGTACCCCCTAAGGCTAACCCCTACATAGCCTGGATACGGATAAAGATATTTATGTTTGACACACCCCCATAGGCGAAGTGGGGGATAGCCAGAGCAAGCAATGGTCACAAGACCAGTCAAGAGAAGAAGCAAAACAAAGCTCAGGTGGACCACGAAGTCACCATACAGTCCGAGCACAAACAAATGGCCACAAGACCAGTTCATATGCAGAGTTATATAGAGCACATGCACAGGGTAGTGATCACCACCTAGCAAAGTCAAAGTGATGGTATGCCTTGCTCTGTCTTGCATGTTCTGCAAGCCAAGATAGCTGCGCAGCTCACCCAAGTCAGTGCAAGTGTGTCTCTTGTGCAGCTCCGCCTTCACAAGGGCCAGTGCCTCAATGTCAGCAGTAGCAAAGACCAAGTCATCGACGAATACGAAGATGTAGAACGGCGGTAGGGAAGGGTCAGCTGTCGAAGGAGCAAACCCTAGAGCCGCAAGTGTAGTCCTCGGTGTGCCGTGCCACTCTCAGGGCGCCTAGCGGAGACCATAGACTGGCCGCCGAAGGCTCCACTGGGTACCCTCAGGAAATGACCCAGTGAAGCCAGGTGGGCATGTCAGAAACTAACAAGCAGGAATGATTGCATTGACATCAAACTGAGTACAAGTACTAACCCTAATTGGGTTGTACCCCATATGGGCTACCACCCCACTACAACTTACACAACATAAGCAGCAGTATAGTTTGACACACCCCCATAGGCAAAGTGGGGGAGAACAAGGGGTCAAAAGACCAGTCAAGAAAAGCAAAGCAAGCTCAGGGTGGATCACGAAGTCACCACACACTCTGAGCACAAGCAAGTGGCCACAAGGCCAGTTCACATGCAGAGTTATAGATACGGGAACAAGTAGTACAGTAAACACAACCTAGCAGGTGTAAGCATGCAGGTACAAGTATATAGATCACAGTATAAGCAAAGTCACGAAGTAAGCAAGTGAGGCAAAGTAGGCACAAGATCTAAAATAGTAAAGAATCGCTGATGATCAAGAGGCTGCAGTGCCTTGGTGAATATATTAGCAGTGTTGGCCCGAGTGACCACATAGGCAAGACGAAGCTTACCACGCTGCTGCAACTCTCGAGCAAGGAAGTAGCGCAGAGCGATGTGCTTCGTCCTGTGCTCCAATCTGTGCTCCTGACACAAGGCAATCATGGCCTTGTTGTCTACGTACAGAACTGGAGGAGAACTAGGCCGCGCTACCAAGGCGGTCAACAGGTAGGTGAGCCAGCGTAACTCGTGTGTAGCCATGGCCCCTGCGTAGATCTCAGCCTCACAACTGGAACTGAGAACAGAAGACGAGCGGGTAGACCGCCAAGAAACGGAACCGGAGCCAAGGCTGAAAGTGTAACCCTGTGACGACTGCTGCATAGCCAAGTCGTGAACCCAAGACGCGACTCCGTCTTCCAAGCACGAGCCCCATGCCCGACGTATTGCACAAGTAGCGTAACACCCTCTTAGCGGCCTCCATGTGCTCTGGTCGGTGTCTCCCGGGCACAACGTAGCGAGCCAGGATGCTGAGAGGGTAAGCAAGGTCGAGTGCAGGTCATCAGGTACATGAGGCAGCCCACAAGCTCTGGATACGGGCCACTTGGCTCTACGGACTCGTCCGAAGGTGGAGCTGAGAGCGAGTGACCGGTAGGCAGAGGAGTGGACTTTGGCGAGGACCAAGTGAAGCCGAAGTGCTGAAGGACCAGCTGCACCATGTGTGACTGAGTCAGAGTGATGGTGCGCCGTGCTCTGTCCCGGGTGATCTGCAAGCCAAGATAGCTATGCACCTCACCCAGGTCTGTGCACGTGTGTCTCTTCTGCAGCTCCGACTTCACAAGGGCCAGTCCCTCAGTGTCAGCAGTGGGAAAGACCAAGTCGTCGACGTACACGAGGATGTAGAACGGCGGCAGCGAAGTGTCGGTGCGCAGAAACAGCGACGGGTCAGCAGTCGAAGGAGCAAACCCAAGAGCCGCAAGTGTCGTCCTCAGTGTGTCGTGCCACTCACGAGGCGCCTGGCGGAGACCGTAGACTGTCCGCCGGAGGCTCCACTGGGTACCTGCAGGAAACGACCCAGTGAAGCCAGGTGGGCGGCGCAGCCAGATCTCCTCGTGCAGGGTGCCCTGTAAGAAAGCTGTGCTAAAGTCAAGAGAGTGAAGCTCGTTGTCACGCTGAGCGGCGACGTGTAGCAGCACCCGAAGAGTGGTCATCTTCGGGGTAGGGGAGAAGGTCTGGAAGAAGTCAACTCCCTGTCGCTGACTAAAGCCCCGTGCAACGTAACGAGCCTTGAAGACAGGCAGAGAACCTGGCGGCCACTTCACCCCGAAAATCCACATGCCATCGACTATGTTCGCCCCAGGAAAGGGAACTGCGTCGACGTAAGTGCCTGTGGACTTCCAGGATGCCATCTCCGTGTCCATGGCTGTCTGCCACTCAGAGGAGTAGGGACCTGTAATTGCTTCTGCTTAAGAGCGCGGGGTCAGGATGTCTAGAGCATCCGGGTCTCCCTCAGGTGCAAGCAGCATGGACACGAGATGGGGTACAGCAGCTGCAAGACACTTAAAGTCCTCCTACCTGTCCTCAAGGACGTTCGTGCTAAGAGCACACTCACCCCCGACGGACGGAGGACAGACAGACTCAGACCCATCGACAAGACTAGCGGCGTAGTCGAGACGACAAGCAGTATCAAAGTCAACAAGCTCAGCGACTAAAGCAGACGCAGCTCTGCGACTAGGGCGGACGAAGCAGTGGATTTTAACGAAGGGTCAGTGACAATAGTGGCCAGGAGACGCGTGACATTAGGACTGGCTGCACGAACTAAGTCACACTCAAAATCTAGACCGTCAGGAAGAGAGGACGCAG